TTGTTTGTTGAATCCTCCGTCCACTGGACAAAGCCCTGTTGATATCAGCCCACATACTGTATCTGCTTAGCATGGATCCGGCCTGGACAAACACACACACACACACACACACACACACACACACACACACACACACACACACACACACACACACACACACACACACACACACACACAAAATGTATTGGAATTTTCTGTATTTATGGGGAAACAGTCGTCATTTGGACGCCCATACACACCAACAAAGAGTGTGTCTGTGTGTTTGATGGGTGACATTTCAGTTTGAGAGTAGTGTTGTTATTCTCAGTTTTGTGTGTGACACAGACTCATTAAACACACACTCATTAAACACACACTCTGACATTCATTCTCCATAGTCTAGTGACTGAAGACTGTTTCTCCATCTACATGACGTGTGTGTCCCTGCAGTCACTGGTGTTAACGAGTCATACAGCAGTGTGTTACTGTGTGTGTGTGTATGTGCATGTGTGAGCTCTATTTTATTGTCATTTGATTATAAAACCAAACTCTCTCAGTGCCCAGGGTCAGATCTGCCTCTCCCACACCCGGTTCAATAACCACAGGATATGGCTGTACTCTGTGTGTGTGTGTGTGTGTGTGTGTGTGTTTGTGTGTGTGTAGGGGTCAGAGTTAATTAATAGCCTCTGGCCCCCTGTGGCCAACACTGTAATGAGTCAAGTTATTGTCTAGCCATGAAGTTGTCTTCACGTCTTCTTTCCTATCTCCTTCAATTTTCTGTTTCCTCTTTCCTTACTTTCTCATTCACTCTATTATTTTGCAACATGATCAAGCGTGAGACTCTGGTGTGTGGGAACAGGAAGTTCTCGGCAGAGATTTATTGTTTCAAGGTTTCCAGTAAAGGTTTTTTTTTATCATCTGTTGTTGATCATGTTCTTCAGTTTATTCACGACTCACATCTGAACTGTAAAATAAGAGCAGTTCCTGGGCCCCCCTCTCTCTCCCTGACTTTCCTGTCTGTCTCTAACTGTGGCTGTCAGAATAAAAGCAAAAAAAAAAAGAAAAACTTAAAAATAAGAGCAGTTCTCTTGTCGGAGCCAGTCCAGTCTGTAACATTCATGTCTGAGGGCATCGCGTGTGTGTGTGTGCGTGTGTGTGCGCACGTGTGTGTGTTGTGGTGTGAGTGGGGCACGAGTGCACTTGTCTTGATGTGTGTTTGTCTGTTTGCTTGTCTGTTGAGATCTGAGCAGAGGTCAACTGACTGAGTCCATCTGGGTTGTTGTCTGTGAATGTCTTGGCGCACGTCTTAAGGGGATGCAGGGGGGTGTTGAGGTTATCCCATTGTTGTCAGGGCATATGTTTTAATGATATGCAGGGGTCATTTGCATGTCACAGCTCGCGGCGGTGGGTGAGGGAGGTGGAAGGGGGTTATTGATTGTTTGGGGGTGTGGCTGCAGAGAGAAGGGAGCTGAAAATACTGGCTGATATCTGGAGGTCAAGCCTACACACACACACACACACACACACACACACACACACGCACACAGATACATAAAAATGGAAATCTGTGTCTCTCTGTGTCTCATGCCACAGGTCAGGTACTCTGCAAGGGGTTGGGGGGAGGGCTCTTTAAATCCTCCTTCCTCCAACTGACCCTCTCTATCTGCCTCTGTCATGCTCTTTCTGCATTTTCTTCACCAATCAGCCCATCTCAACATTTTGAGTTTATTAATTCAGAAAAGTCTTATTTCATTTCTTTATGTGACTGTAAAAGTTACTAATAAACTTAATTTAAACATCATGCTCCTTCACTCGTTAGTGTTGTTGCACCTGCTTGTGCAGGACAGTTTACACCTGTGTCATCGTCATTATTATACGTCGTCTTTAGTGACCTCACATTAATGTTGTGTGTGATGGAAGGTAGAGGCAGGAAAGATTCACATGTCAACCATTCAACTTCCTAGGCCTGGGCTGATATTCAATAATAACATAATATTGAATATTGTGATATTTCCCGCCATATGCAATATTTTTTTCTTCTTCTTGCAGTTTTCCAGTCTGTCCAGCTGCTGAGTCCAGCCCTCATTTCACTGATTTGTTATTGTACATTTTGCGTGAGCAAGTGACACACAAAGTTTTGAACTGCTGTTTAGTGGCAGCATCACTAATACCTGAAACCTGAAATATAATAATATAGTTATATATTGCAAAAAGCACCTGAAACATAAAGTATAATAGTATTATTATGTATTATTTAACAAAAACAAACAACTGAAAAATATTATATTATAACCCAAAACCTGCCATAATTGAAATTATGGCTATTGAAAGTTGGTTGGGTGAAGATGAAAAATAATGTGCACTGAAAACAAAACCCTCTAACCACTGAGTCTGGTTTAATAACACTGAATGATGGACCTCGGCTGACAGGAGATATTTGTATTTGTATTCACATGAATCAACATTATGCTTGTGCGTAGTAATACGGCTGTTCACTGGTTCACAAAATGTAGTTCCAAAGATTTTGCCTTTTCTTATAGTTGAGAGCCAGACAGGAACTATGGGGATGGGAAGAGGGGGTCACATGAGACCAAGCTCCACTGCTGGATTCAAACTGAGGATATCACTGTTTAAGTGGTTCATGAGGACACAGTGAGGTCCTGATCAACAGCTGGGTTCACTGACTGCACGCAATATATAAGGTCCTGTCCTCACAGAGGAGGGGCGGGTCTGCACTCTGCTCTAGAGCTGGAAAAAACCCAAGTGAGTCTTGGATGAACTGAAGATCTGATCTGATATAGATCTGTTCATCTGACTGTGGGTAAGAAGCTAATTAAAGTTTTCACCATGATGGAGCATCTCATTTACGTACTGTGTTTACTATCCTATTATTATATTTGTTCATGCATTTTGCTGGTTTTTGCTTCCAACCACACACACACACACACAAACACACACACACACACACACACACAGACTGACCGACCTTCCTTACAGCCACATCTCGTCCATGAGAAAACAAAGATAGCCTCCAGCTGAAGTGTGTGTGTGTGTGTGTGTGTCGGGGGGGGGGGGGGTTCTCTGCACTACATGCATGGACAGCTCTGTGTGTGTGTGTATTTGTGTGTGAGAATTTGGTCTCTGCATTCATGCATGATCGGCCCTATCTCTGTGACCTGCATGTGTACTGCATGTGAATGTGTTCATGCGTGGCTGACGTGTGTGTTCAGGCTTTTATGGGTTACGTGTCCATGTGAGGAGACTGTGGAGGAAACACATCAGGTCCTGAGTGAGTCTGAGTCTTTAACACAGGAAACCAAAGACAACACAAAGAACTGCTCTGTGTTCACCATGTAATAAACCACAGAGCAGAATCTCATGTTTGATAAACGACATCTTTTTCAACATCATTATTCCTTTTCTGTTGATGACAAACCAGATAATGATCTTCTGCATCTGGACCCTGTCTCACAGGTAGATCCAAAAACACATTGTACTTCATCATCCTGCTCCTAGTGTAACACTGATGCTGTCCACACACTGTGAGTAACAAAGATTATTTCCTAAAGTTTGAGCTGCTTGAGTCAGTCTGGAAATAATTACTGCCAAGAAAACAGACCAGTTGAAAACAATTCAACAACAGATGAAAAGGTGTAATATAACATGCTACACATTATTCCTCCTCCTCTCTTAACAAAACACCACCTACTTGATGTCAGTAGTAACAGACACTGTCCCTGCTACACTGACACCAACCTTTCAATCCTGGTATCTGAAAGGAAAAACTAAATGGTCCAAAAACATCTGTTCCATCAGACCAAACATTAATTCAATAGGCAGGATACTCAATCAGAAAAGGAAAATGACATAATAACAGTAGAGTACCCAGTTGTGAAGACCACAGCCTTTCAAGGTCTACAAGTTTGAACATAGTTTACAACAACATCAAATTATTATTGAATGGTTTTTAAACTGACAAAGTGTGTCACTACAAACTCCCTCTTTTTAGGAGAAACACAATGATCTGAACAGCTGATAGTTCGAATATAGTTTGTTAAAGTCAAACCAACTCTATAGAAATTTCAGTTGTTAATGTTTGCTTTGCATTTCATATCATGTCATTTTAATTTAATTCAGCTGCTTGATCAGGGGAATTATCTCATCAGATAATGAATTGCAATAAAATGTTTCTGCTGTATCCTGATGACTTAGCTGATACCCAAGTAGAGAGACGGGATCAGGAAGGAAATCATGTTGTTGAACATCTCCAGTCGTCTTTAGGCAGATTTATAAGAAGACGACGTCTCTGTTCGCAGTTCCACCTACAAATGCTCTGATGAAACGGTCGATTGTTTATCCAAAAGGAGGAAACCTGTCACTGAACCAATCAGTGGCCATTATTATTCAAAATGTGTATTTTTGTTTAGCACAACACAACATAACATGACATCATCTGTTCTTGTACTGAAGAGGATTAGGGCCACGTGTGATTTTTTCTTTTGATTTTTTTTTTTTTGTCGAATTTTTCTTTTCATCTTAGAATTCTGAGTGTGAAGTATGTTTAAAGTGTGTGTGCTGTGTTCTGTTTTGGTTGAGGTTAGTTTTACTCTCAGTTTAGTTTGAATCATCCTGGTTGAGCCTGAAAAAAGAAACAAGCCTCTGTGACTTCACACACAAACACACACACACACTGTGTTTCACTTGTATTTGTGTGTGGGACAGTTGTGCATCACTTGTAATGTGTGTGCGTGAGTGTGTTTGACAGCAGTGGAGATGGTGTGTGTGTGTGTGTGTGTGTGTGTGTGTGTGTGTGTGTGTGTGTGTGTGTGTGTGTGTGTGTTTGCGTCTGAGGCTTATTAATAATGCATGAGATGGGAGGGGTGAAGGAGAGGGGGTGGTGACAGATGGAGAATCGGTGTGTGTGTGTGTGTGAGAGAGAGAGAGCGAGAGAGAGAGAGAGAGAGAGTGAACGGTCTGAGAGTAGTGAGCGAACAGAGAGACGGAGAGAGTGAGGAGAGAACAGGCTGAATGACAGAGATGGACACACTGTTGTGTTTTCCAAAATTTATACACTTGTAACGTGTGTTGTGTGTGTGTGTGTGTGTGTCTGAGCTGGATCTGATTGACAGTTGCTCAGTCTTTGTGTTTGCTCTTTGGTTTTCTTGGATGCTGAAGGATCTGATGTTGGAGATACAGAGTCACCCAGCACTGCTGTACACCTGGATGCAAGAGCTGCACTGACTGAGGTACTGATACACATTTATACATGTGTGTGTGTGTTTACACTTGTATTTCCTGTTCAGAATTTAGAGTTGTCATGTTTGAAGCAAAGGAGACACAAGAGTCTCACTCACAGTGAAGATCTCTCAGCTGTGATGGACTGTGTGAATAGAACTGATTCTCAGCCTCCTAGCTGAGATATGTGATTCACAGTGTTCACATGGATCTGTTGTGTTCATGTTACCTCACTCTTAAAGCTCCCTGCTGCTTTCTCTCTTTGTCTTTACATTTATCTTATTTCTCCATTTAAAGTGGATTTGTGTGTTTATGTATTTAGTCATGCCTCGTCCTCACACAGTTCAGTTCAGTTCACTCTGTCCCGTCACTCTGGACATGATGTGATGTGGCTGCTGTCGGCCACACTGAGGAACCAGTTCTCACCACAGTGACTCAGGGCTGCTTACACTTACAGTTAAGTGTCTCACAACAGTTGTTGGAAGTGTCATGCTGGTAGACTCTAGTGAACAACTATTGAACAGTATTGATTGATATTACTTATGGATTTAGATAATTCTAGCTAACCAGTAGCAGGGAAAGTTCTGATACTCACGCACTTGATTAGAAAAGCAGCTAATGTGTGTAGCAGAAATGAGACTGCTGACGAGATAGCTAGCTCTTTTCGACCCAACTGACCACTTCTCAAGCAACTAGAGTCTGGAGTTTACTAAAGCTATGTCCACACTAACATGTTTTAGTTTTAAAACTCATCTCTTCTGCTACGTTTACTCCTAGCGTGACTCCTGGACCCGTTTTAGTTTGAAAACTCTGGGGTTGTGCTTTATTTTGAAAACTCTGGGATTGTATTTTATTTTGAAAACTCTGAGGTTGTGTTGTAGTCTGGACGGACAGAAACTGAGACCTTTGGAATCGATGATGTAGACACCCACGGTCTCTCCTGATTGGCTCTCATCAGCGGGGGCTACCAGTGGTGAATACAACATGATAATGAATCACAGTGTTACTGACCTTGTTGTCTTTGCAGCTGTTGTTCAGTTACATTCTGTATTTTAATGCTACAACTGTCTTTGCTGTTCCTCCTTCAGAGGATTTACTGTAACTAACCAACTGCAGAGAAGGCAATCTACTTCCTGTTTACACTTCCTGTTTACATGCTCAGTGTACCTGAATGGTCATGTGATATGTGTTTTCAGGTGTTGTTTTTGTTTTAAAATGAAAATGCAGTAGTGTTGCCAAAGTCTGAGTCATCTCTCTGTCAGACCATGTAACTGACTGTAGCTTTATTGACAGACTTTGATTCAGACATAAAAATGTTCTCTCTACATGTGGTTGAACACAACCCAGGTAAAACACACCAGCTGTTCTGGAAACATTGTCACATTTCTCTGATTGGTTCATAAGTTCTGTTGGTGGATGACTTATCACTCTCCATAGATCTTTGGTTGATCTGATACTGATCAAATCTCACTATGAACCACAAATTTGAATCTTTCTTCAAAATTCATCTCTCTGCTCTTGTGCCTTGAACGTTATTGATCATATATAATATCACAGGAGATAGAGCGGGTTGTCCACTAATCAGAAGGTTGGTGGTTCAATCCCGGCTCCTCCAGTCCATGTGTTGAAGGCAAGATACTGAACCTAAGAGTGTGTGTGTGTGTGTGTGTGTGTGTGTGTGTGTGTGTGTGTGAGTGTGTGTGTGTGTGTGTGTGGTAGAAGCACTGTATGAGTGTGTGTGAATGGGTGAATGTGGCTTGCAGTGTAAAGTGCTTTGAGTGGTTGATAACACTAGAAAAGCTCTATGATAAGAGCAATCTATTTACATGATATGTTTGTGCCTTGTCAACATAGATTCGACATCTGTTAAAGATTTGTTTAGAATCTAATTAGCCATGAAAAGGCCTGTACTACGAAGCAGGATCTGAGCTTATAGAGGTAACTTCAGGTTTAACTCTGGGTTTTCAGTCCTATGACGGTGGTTCACTTGTTACCGAGGTGAATGGCCATGGTAACTTACGCTGACCTCCTAACCTGTTTTGAAGCATGTTGACATTAAGAAAAAAAAACCTGTCAACAGCCAAACTACTGACCAATCAAATCACTGGAGTCCTCATTCCTGTAGGATCCTGACAGGGACAAAAGAGTTTACGATAAAGTGATAAAGCAGAAGATCTAAAATATAAAAGATCTGTGGAATAGTTTTCCTGTTTGAGTCTTTCCATGTGTCCACTCTGTTTTAAAACAAAGCTTCTGAAAAAATGCACAGAGAGTTGATCACGCTAAATAAATAGCTTATATAATAACTGACAGTGATGATGTTTTTACTCTCTTCTTCATCACTGCAGCTCAGAATAACATGAGGAGACTCTGTGACCACAACTGGAAATAAAAACTAAACTTCTGATGCCTTTGATTAGAACAATTAGCCACACACTGTTAATTATTTCCATGATTATAAATGAACATTTCAGTCAGACTGACTCATCAGACATCAACTACTTCTCCTCTCTGCAGCAGAAACATTCTGACATTAACTGTTTTATCTGCATCACATGTTCATAACAGTTTGTTCATCAGACTGAAGAGTGAAAATACTCAAACGTGATGATAATTCAGGCACTTATTTACAATATATCTTTAGTCTGACTTTAATAGAAATGATATTTAGACATGAAAATAATATTTTTTATTCCAGTCACGTCACGATCATGTTCATACTTCATTCATAGTTCAGACAATGTTGCTTATAATTAACAACTCCACCTCTTTCACATGAACACGTTCGTAGCCAGATAGGTAAACCCAGGGTTAAATGAGCCAGTTGATAACCAGCTTCGTAGTACAGGTTATCACGACGGTCAATGTTAGGTTCAGTTAAGCCAGATACAGTAGTAGTAGTTGTAGTACAGGCCTCTGCTCTCCTTCCTGAAAACAAATCAGATGATCAATGACAGAACAAATGGTCTGGAGAATAACTGTTCGTTCTGTGAAGATCTGATTATCAACAAAGAACATGTCACTTCACTATACTTCATGTTATCAGTGGTTAGCTGTAATAGAACGAGACCCTGTGAGAGCCTTTCTTTGAACTTTGACCTTTTCTGAGGTCAGAGTCACGTCAATAAAGACAGTTTGATTATTGTTTACTGGAAGAGAAGAAACGTTAGGCTGCTGTTCTCTGTAACCACACTGTGTGTAACTATGTGTGTGTGTGTGTGTGTGAGGCCGAACTAGCTCTGGTGACAGGGCTGTCTCAACATGCTGTGTGTGTGTCACATCAAACACACACACACACACACACACACACACACACACACAGACAGACAGTTCTCTGACAGATTTTTATTTTGTGTGTTTGTGGGAGGATTACTGCATTAATACATTTCAAGTGTTTTCCATCGTGTGCAGGTGTGTGTGTGTGTGTGTGTGTATGGGTAAGTGTTTGTTCAGGGATGCGGGTGGACAGTAGTGGGAGTGCCAGAACACTCAATGCACACACACACACACACACACACACACACACACACACACACACACACACACACACACACACACACACACACATTCTGACATACACAAATACATTCCTTCTTTGTTCTGGAGCATCATTGTGAAGAAAAGGTTAATGCAGCCAGAAAACAGAGAGAGAGAGAGAGAGAGAGAGAGAGAGAGAGAGAGAGAGAGGGATAGAGAGAGAGAGAGAGACTAATGGACGACGACGGCCTTTCACTGCAAATATTTGGTCAAGGGTCTCATACTAACCATCCCCTCCCCCGTCCTCTCTCTCTCTCTCTCCTCCCCCATCCTCTCTACCCCCCCCTCCATGGCCAAAGGGAGAAGATCAGAACAAATTGTCACTTTGTGATCTGCCCACGTTACATGGCTCTTTATTTTTTCTAAAAAGAACAGAGCTGGAGGCCACGAGTCAGATCCTGATCATCTCAGCTGCTGCTGGTTCAGTCAGTGTCAGGCAGCAGCCTCATGTATGTCTTCTTTTTTATCCTGCTCCAAGTTGACTGAGGCACAAAATATATTTTTTTTAGCATAAAATAAGATTTATGTTGATTAAAAATGATTGATAAAAATGATTGATTAAAAATCATATATAAAACAATATTAGATTTTACAAACATTTCTTCATCAGTCTGCTCCTCCTCCTCCTCTTCACTGCTGCTCGGACTCTTATATTTTATGTAATCGTAGAGATTTAGCTCTAGATGACTCCTCTTCTGCCATGTCCAGTTAATCTGTTGGCTGTGATTGTGTGTGTGTGTGTGTGTGTGGGTGTGGGCGGGGGGTGTAGTGTAGCCAGAAAGCACTGAATAAGCCCTCATCAGCAGAATATCCAAATAAAAAACATTGCACACAGCAGAAAGTGACTTCCTGTCATGACATATTCTGTGTGAAGCAAGGAACCAGAGGAGCTGAGGCTCCGTCTCTCCTCAGCAGAGCAGGAGGAGCCCTGGATTAAGGGTCTGAGTGGAAACATTCTCACTATGGTAAATACTAATTCCTTTGTGGTCACCATCAAAACAGAGCTCGTTGTGCCGAGATGAGGGGACAAACTGATGACAGGAGGAAACCATGTGACTGTTAGAAATATACTATGTGTGAACTGATGATCAGGATCATGTTTCCTCCAACCTTAGCGACCATATGGGTCATTTGTCCCCCTCTAAGAATACGACCTACAGTGGCAGACATACCACAGCTTCCTCGTCATGGTAACAATAATAAACACACAGTTAAGATTAGGGATTTCATGATACCAGAAATTTAGTAGTTGATACCAATACCAGTGAAATTTCACGATTCTAGATACCTATTTCGATACCACAGTAAAAAAAATAAATTAAAAATTAAAAAAATTAATTCTATGTGTTTTCTCTTTTCCCTTTATTGAAAAATACAAATAGAAAATAAAAAAACTAAGAATATTTGCATGTAGCCTTCAAGAATTTAAAATAAACAATACATTGCTAAAATATAAACAATCAAGTTTTTTATT